TGTAGTTGTTCTGGTGACTACAGTGTCCCTTTAAAGTATCTGTCTGCCTACCCCATTATTCTCACCATTCCTCTCTGCTGTGTTTCTTTTTTGTTCTACCTACAAAGGTAAATTACTTCATCGTGAAAAACTGCACAAAATCTAACTTTCTATGATCACACTTGTGTAGTAAATGCACACTTTAAACAAAAAAACAAACAAACAAAAAAAAACAGATAAAGCCACCCTCAGGCTCTGATCTATTAGTGGAAGCAGCTTCATTTATGATACTAATGAATGGATCTTAGTCAGATCTGTCAATTTGTAGAGCTCTACAGAGACGTAGATCGATGGACAGATGGAAGGAAAGACAATCGGATGGGCGGACAGACAGATAGCTAAATGCCTCGAATAGACTTTATTTACTGAGGTCCCAAGATTGCATCAATACTGGCAGTGACACCTAACTAAAGAACTACATTTTAAGATTAACACCACAAATTTTGGTTCTGCTGAGAGAAATTGCCATTTATAAATTAACATACCTCATCTTAATGTATGCACATCGATTCTGCCTGTACTTCCATAGCGTAAGAGAACTGAAGAGATATGGAATAAAAAACTCACAGCAGGGAGGGTGATAACACACATACAAAACAAATAAAATGGGTTAGATTTACTTTAAGCAAAACTAACCATATGTAATATTACCATCAGATAAAGCCGCACAACATTCAATGTATAAACATGTTAGTCTCTTAAAACATTCTCTACTAAAAACCCGTATTGTTTATTTGGTGATCATTTAAAAATATCCTGATGCAGAGACATAACTACCCTAAGTGAAAGGTGAGGTTACTACCCTAAGAAAAAATGAAAGGTGAGGTATGTCATCTCTCTACCCATAAACAATGTGATGCTGATGCTCTCCTGGATCTCAATGAAAGCATAGCCTGAAACAAGCATTTACTGGACATCCACGTACTCAAAGAGATCCTCCCATGCTACCTAACTGAGAGGAAGACAACAGCGTTGTTTTCTCCAGCAAACCCTCATGATAGACACCTGGAGCACATCACCTGATCTCCCTTAGTAGCCAGACAAGCACTATATTATTTATATCAGTGATCTGCTTAATGCAAATTTAAAAATAAAAAGTCCCATATCCGGTGCTTGCGCCCCCAAAGCTCCCCCCTGAAAATAACAGAGCCTGAACAATTCCGGTTTTCCTGTACAAAATTAACCACAAGATATCAGCAGGTCTTATTTTGATCAAGAATTGCTCTGGAAGTATTCTAAAATCTGTACAATCAGAATTAATTTATGGAACACTATATTCAGAGTTCTAATTATTACTGAATATAAATGTGGTGAAATTATCACTGCTTCCCGCTTAGCATATGTTATGGGTGTTGTAAATAGAATAACAACCCCAAATGATTGCTTAACAATATAGTCCAAAAATACTCTGCAATGAATCATTTCCCCAGTGCAATAAAATCTCAGAATCTCAGTTAGGCAAATTATAAGGGATAGGAATGTTTTCTTTGTCTAAGAACTATCAAACAATCTTTCCACAGCTAAAGGGTTTGCAACCGTTAAAGAATGTGAATGAAATTCCACAGTGTGAGAATTATGAATTTTATCACAAGACACGTTGGCTCATATTGCATATCCCTTTCTTTACTGTCCACCAATAGCAGCAAAGTATACAAACAGAATGAAAAAACAATGAACATACAGTAGCATAGGCCCCTCCCTGCACAGGTCCCAGTATAATAGGCAGCACTTCCCTTCCATTTCCCTCTTTCTTTGCTGCTCAAAAGATAAGTAACAGCTCACATTTTTCTCTCACATATTATTTATTATCCTGTGATCTATTGTCTTGATTTTTACTATTTAATGTCATTTATTACTCCATTGTTTATTCTCTGTTGATATATTCAGTATTATTCAGTCTTTTGTTTAAGGAATCCTTTTTCCGTTTATTATTTATGTTTGCTCATTACTATATATGTATATTTATTGCCTCCCAGGGTTCCAGACGTTCTCTGTGTGATAACTGATTTTCTCTGTTTGCTCTTATCCCCTTTCAGTCTCTTATGCACTTCTCTGTCTCTCCCTGTACTTTGACGCCATTTGCACCTCGTTTTTCTCCGTTCTGTTCGGCTGTTTTGGTGCACGAATTTCGCCATTCGGCTAAATTCATCACGCATTCGTTCGTTTTACCGGCATATAGCATCATTCTTGTTCTTGCTCATTCATATGTTTCTCCATTCACTTGTTCTATTCACACGAATTCGGCTGTTTTCTTGACGAATTCTCAGGTTTTTTGCCGCTTGATTCTCGGCGGCCATTTTCTGATTTCCTGTCTCTCTTCCGACCTCGTTGTGTGTGTCACTGGTCTGGGCCCTGGTGAGATCTATTTTGTTCACTGCTCTTATAGTTTGGGTGACTAACCCTTACTTACTCTATAGTCTTAGGTAATAGGGATATTGTGCATCTTTCATTATGACCAAACCCAGGATGCCTTCCAGCTCTCCACCCTCTGGGGAGATAGATTCTCCACTATTCATGGGAGAGGCCCCTGTCACCTCAGACATACCACTCTGACAGACAGGCCCATCCACCCTGCAGGGGACCAATTCTCAGCGCTACAGCGCTCTGTGACAGATGCCATTATAGCAGTCATGGGATCCATGTCCTCTACCCTCTCCCATACTATCTCCCATGCCCTTCTGCCACGTCCTTTGGACGCGCAAATGTCTGGTTCCACGACGCCTCTCTCACGTCCTGCTGTGGACCCGCCTGGGGACGCACCCAAGAAGGCAACCCATAAAACCAAACATCCCTCTGCCTCCAGAACTACTAAGACTGGCATATCTTCGGTTGCCCCAGAAAGCGTGCTCCACACACGCAAAAGAGCCTTTCCGCGCCAGGAAGAACGGGCGCGGCTATGGAAATGTGCCAGAGCACAACCCGAGAGTAACTCCGACTCAGAAATCTGGTCTGGTGAGGAGGCTATGATTGAATCGGATGATGGCTCCGACGTTGATTCTGCTGAGCTGGGCCTTGACCTCCTTCCCTCTGCTTATGAGCTACACCATCCGAGGTCGGCGGATGAGCTACACCATCCGAGGTCGGCGGAGTGGCTCCCGGCGGACCATGTATCCAAGTACCTCGAAAATTGGGTACGACGCCCGCTCACTAAAGCGGCACGTAATAAATTGAAGGCTGAGTGCCCGAGGCCTATGGTGCCCAATAAGGTCTGCGATACCCCTGAGGTTGACCCAAAAATGACCCAGTTCCTGGCAAATTTGGTCTGGAACCCACGTAAAGGTCTAGACTCTGCCCTAAAAGCATGTCAGGATAAGCACCTGGACATATTTGGCCCACTGGCAAAACTTTTTAAACTGGCGGAGGATGCCAGAGCCAGAAACCGTATGGTTGACCCCGAAGACCTCCATGGTTGTGTCTAAAGGGCTATTTGTATTGCCGGGAGTGTCAATACCTCCCTCTCTATTGAATGGCATAAAGCCATTTTATTCAAAATAGAGCCTAAATTGGCCAACCTTGCCCTCACAGAGGCTGGGAAGGACACCCAAGGTTTACTTTTTGGCAACTCCTTCATTAAAGACCTGAGACGCTTTGTGGGAGCGTTTACAGCCCTTGACCAAGGCCCAAGCCTCCATGAGACGTGTATTCCAGGGTCGGGTCTCCACCAGGGCCGGCAGATCCAGGAGCCGTCTGTCCGGCCGGTCTTATTTTCAGTCCCGTGGCTTGGGACGAGGCTCCTTTCAGCTCCAATTTCCAGGAGACGAGTACCCGCTCCCCATTCTTCCTGTCACGCGGACGCCCGTGGTGATCCAGAGGCTTCCGGGATAACACCGGTTCCAGATGACCTTATGATGAGTTTCCATCTATTGCGAGACCTAGTCCTTCCAGGGGACTGGTTGGTAAAGCTGGATCTGAAGGATGCGTATCTCACCGTGCCTACAGCCGAAGCATCCTGAGATTTCCTGCGTTTCCGTTGGCGGACAGGGACTTGGAGGTTCACCTGCCTTCCTTTTGGCCTGTCATCAGCACCATGGTGCTTCACAAAATTGCTGCGCCCACCTATGGCCTGGCTACGCAGTCGAGGCATTCGTCTAATTATATACTTAGACGACATCCTGCTCATGGCCCAGGATCGCTCCATACTTCTGGCGCACCTGCAGCTAGTGATGAAACTACTCTCCCGCCTGGGTTTCATCATCAACCAGGAAAAGTCGTGCCTGACTCCCGCCACTCATATGGAATTCTTGGGAATCCTAGTGGATACGAAAGCCGCCACTCTGAGCCTTCCGAAGTCCAAGACTCGTTAAATACGCAAGGAGCTCCGCAGAGCACTCATACGGCCACACCTCACCTTGAGGCAACTGGCGCGCCTCATTGGCCCCCTCGCATCCTCTATTCAGGCTGTGTTCCCGGGTCCGCTCCATTACTGCGCACTGCAACGCCTGAAAATAGCTCACCTGAGAGCCGGCGCGTCCTACTCGGACTTCGTGGCGCTGGGCAGCGAGACGAAGGACGAGCTTTGATGGTGGATCCTCAACCTATCTGCTTGGAACGGCAGGGCAATCTTCAGCTCCATGCCGGAGTTCACCATCGACTCAGATGCGAGCCTCCATGGCTGTGGGGCTCATTGCGAGGGTGTGGCGACAGGGGGTCGCTAGTTGGGATCTGAATCCCGACTCCACATCAACGCATTGGAACTCTTGGTGGGCTCCTTCGCGATCCGCAGCTTCGCGAGGGACCGGGCTCATCCATGCATCCGCCTCCGCATGGACAATCTCACCGCTGTGAGGTATGTCAACCATTTGGGCGGTACTCAGTCTGCGGTTCTGGCCAGATTGGCAAAAGACTTTTGGGACTTTTGCTTAGACCGGAACCTGGTGGTCCAAGCGGAGTACCAACCAGGACTACACAACATCTATCGGACGCCAACGACTGTAAATTGGACACGAACGTGTTCTCCAGTTTATCGTCTCTCTGGGGCCCTTTTGCTATAGACCTATTCGCGTCCCGGCTCAACACCCAGCTCCCACAGTTCTTCAGCTGGCGGCCGGACCTGGCGGCGGGGCAGTGGACGCCTTCCTACGGGACTGGAGCGGAGGCCTCCTAAATGCCTTCCCCCCCGTTCTCCATGATCCCTCGCACCCTTGTTCACTCCTACAGACACCTAGCCGAGCTGGTCCTAGAGACCCCATTCTGGGAAACGCAATCGTGGTTTCCCCAGCTTCTCGGGTTGACAGTAGATTATCCCAGGCTGTTGCCATCCTCCCAGGAACTTCTACTGGACCCGTTGGGGTGTTATAACCCCCTCCTGTTGGAAGGTTCCCTCCCGCTCCAGGCGTGGCGGATTTCAGGGGACCCTGGGATGTCCAGGGAGTTTCGGACACTACTGGCGAAGGCATGAGCTTCCGGCACTAGACGGGCATATGGGTCAGCTTGGCGAGCTTGGGCTGGCTGGTGCCTGGCTAGGGACATGGATCCCATTTCAGCCCCTGTAACTACGGTCCTACAATTCCTGACTTCCCTCTTTGAAGCAGGTAAGGCCTACAGGACCATCAACCTATTTCGGTCAGCCATTTCCTCGACGCATCAAGGGTTCGATGGCTGCCCGGCAGGCCAGCACCCCCTGGTGTGTCAGCTCCTCAAAGGTTCTCACCTATCTCGACCGCCCAGGCCGCACTACACCGCAACCTGGGATGTATCAGTGGTATTATCCTTCCTCACTTCTTGGCCCACTAATTCCGCTCTCTCCCTACAACAGCTATCAGCCAAGTTGGTCTGTTTGTTTTGACTCATCTCCTGCAAAAGGGTCTTTGATGTCCGTGCACTGGACTTTGATGCCAGATCTTATACCCCTGATGGTGTCACATTTAATATCAGCAGACGCACCAAAATGTCTGTTAAGTCAATATCTTATCCGAGTTTCCCCTCTACACCGGCGCTGTGTCTGGTGGCCTGCCTACGCGAATATGAAGATCGCACCAAACTACACCGTTTTGCATCCTCTCCCCATCTATTTTTATCTATACGTCATCCGTTTAACCCCGTCACTAGCACCACCTTGTCTCGCTGGGTTAAATGGCTACTCTCTCAAGCCGGTATTGATACTGCACTTTTTGGCGCCCACTCTATCAGGGTAGCCTCGGCCTCTTCAATGATGGCTTCAGGTGCACGCATGGAGGATCTCATGAAGATGGCTGACTGGTCGAGGGAATCGGTTTTCCGGGAATTTTACTTTAGACCGGTTCCTCATACGTTTGAGGCAGTGGTCGATAGGCTTTAAACTTGCAATATGAGCCTCCATGTCTTGTGATAAAATTGCATGATTTTGCTATTACATGACGAAAAGTCATGATTTTATTAAAGACACAGAGGTGAGTATTGTCACACCCATTTTGACTACCCATGTTATGTTTAGCTTGTTTCCCCCCCCCAGTTATTTCACTGTATAGGTGACAGGTATTATCTTGCTTGGTACGGTAAGTGGGGCCTGTGTTGGATGGGATTTGACTATGTAACTATGTCAGTTTGGGTCTATCTGGTTCTTTCACTTCAGATATTGCACTGTCTGGCCTTGATGTTAGTCTCAAGTACTGGTTTAACCCCTGGGCTCCTGTTCTTTATGTTTTCACAGCCTAAACCGATCCTGCGGAGTGTCTGGCTTCAACATGTATGGATCCTTCCCTGCGAATGAAGTTTAGTTGGAAGTTATCCAGTTATACTTCCCTGTTTATTGACGTGATGATCCTCCTCTTGGCTTGCAGTTTATATGTATTTTGGCTTCTCTTTGGACTATATTTCTGTTCCTGTTATGGACTTTGTGTATAGTGTCGCATATTCAGAAAGAGGGAAATGGAAGGGAAGTGCTGCCTATTATACTGGGACCTGTGCAGGGAGGGGCCTATGCTACTGTATGTTCATTGTTTTTTCATTCTGTTTGTATACTTTGCTGCTATTGGTGAACAGTAAAGAAAGGGATATGCAATACTCGCCTCCGTGTCTTTAATAAAATCATGACTTTCCGTCATGTAATAGCAAAATCATGCAATTTAATTACAAAAATGTCATAATGGTTTTATATACATATTCCTTTAAGAATTGGTAGCACTCACTGACTTTAACAATAGTCTAATCTTTAATCAAACATAAAGTTTAAAATCCAGTAGATCGACGTTTCAGTCTCTATCTAGGACTTTCTTCAGGATCAATAGATAAATAATTGAGATGGGAAGTGGTAAGGACAAAGTCAGGGAGTGTCAGTGACCATCTTGACGTTTGCTCTCTCGTTGCATGTTGGCTCCAGAAAGCCTCAGAGCATTATTTTCTATAATACAGATTTTAGCAGTATGTGCCTTCTATATGTATTATATGATCTGTCTGTTATTTAAATGAAAAGTTCATATTTTCAAACCCTGTCCTGCATGGTATGCTGTCACACAGCGCAATAAAAACTGTATTGCCATTTGCTTACTAAACAGTAAAACGACCAATGGCAAAAGTGATGACTTGAAAACCATTTTGAAAAATATAGGCAAAAACAGCCTGTTGTGCCTAATCATTAAATTCATGAAGCACCCATATCCAAAAAGTAATAATCAATTACCTAATAAGGTTTATAGCGATATTGGTGGGCACACAACCGAGTTCGAGAAGAGTGTCTTGCACTATAGGAAAAAGAAACCACACAGAGACCAAGTTGCAGATAAGAATTCACACCACACTTTATTGTCCACAAGGGGACCCAATACAGAGTAAGCTTAATTCTCATTAAGCAGTTGCATGCATTCACTTCAAAACAGCTTAGCATCCGGATATATCAGCTTAAGTATACATCACCATTAGAGGGGCTTGTGTCCTCTGCACTTGACTGGGGAGAACTCTGGCAGTCGGCTTGGAGGGACCCTCTCTGGGAACAGCAGAGACCAGCAACACGCGTCCGCATTACAGGTGGGTAGTTCTACAAGTGAGTGCCAAGTTTCTCCGTCTTTTATACTTTTTATCAAGTTTGTAACTTTTCCAAGATTTCTTATCAGTGCAGCCCAGCATGTATCTTGTCATGCGCATTAAGTAATCAGTATGGTTGATCAGGCCAGTCGTGACCACCCAAGGCTCATGCCAGACACATGTGGTATCTTATTCTATCTATGTGCCTACTCTTATCTTTCTACACATTGTTGGCACCAAATCCCTCTTTTCAGCACAAGGGCCTTTTTGGATATTGGCCAGACATGCTATGGAATATTCTATGCATTGTTATCTTAGTTGAATTTCTTAGTGCGACACAGTTTAAGCCAAGTGCCATCTTAACTATCTGTAATAGATTAATTTGCTCATTAGTGATCAATCAATCATGCCTAATTAGTTAACTGGATTTTATCACAATTATCACACAGCCAAGATGAAAGTATACCTGCTTTGGAGAAGTTATTTAAATCAGCAATTTTGGCCTATATGTTGTCATTTGTTTTTTAATTCACCACAGTTTGCTGTTTAATGAATAAACGCCAAAGTGAAACACAACACGGTGTTGGGGGTCCTGACAATCATATTACAGCACTAGTACATACATTTCCCAGTCTGCCTGAGATTAATGTGATTCACACTCCCACATAGAAGTTGTGAGAAATAGAGAACTAACGCAAAATGCATCTGCTGCGTGGGAGTGACATTCCCATCAATCTCTGCATAGAATTTTTATATAATTTTTTTTCTTAAGTCTTTGGGTACATGTTATCTTCAATTATATTAAGATGGTGATAGCAAAAAAAAACAAAAAAAAAACACAAGTGATTTTCTATTATGGAATCTCTGTGGAACAAATAGATGAAGAAGAAAATTAGCTTGAACGTCTAAAAGCGGTTTTGTTTTTTTCTGAACAGAGGAAGGATTTACTCTACTTTCTCAATAGCAATACCTCCAAGTTTTAAAGGGAAAATTTTTATCCAGTCCTATGTCTCTATATTAGAATATTGGTCTTCAAATAGAAATGCTGTATCAATAGAATAGTTGTTTTATCTATAAGGCATTTAGGTTGATATTTAATGTATATTGAACACAAAGAACACAAGAGATCCAGGAGAGAGTCATTCATTTGGATGAAGGGTCCAGCATTTTGTACCTGCATTCATGTATAACCCATTCTTTATTATGTAAAACTATTTCAACTGCAATCTGCTCTGAACTGTATTCTTGTAGATTAAAGCAATCTTTTCTCTTGTCTGATGTGCTATATGCATAAAATATTAATGTTTTACGATTTGGTACACATCTGTAAACTAATCAGTCCACAGTAGTACATGAGGAAGTAGTAGCTGTTGCAGCAGATTGTAAAGCAATTTCAACTACAGACGTCTGGTCTTAACCAGGCAACCAAATTTACTAATCAAGCCAACATATAATTAAATTTTTGCTCTGTTGTCATTTTGGAAACTGATATTCACATAAATCCTATTTAATATCATAACGCCGAGGCAAAATATTTGATCAATTATATTTGCATTAAATACATAATTTTAATGTGCACATCAATATCAATATTCAGAAATCTACATATGAAATTGCAGTTTCTTCCCTAACTTTTTGCACTTACTATGCAAAGTTTCAAATAAATACTACTCAGATTTATTTATTTTTAAAAATATTTTAGCAGGAAGGATACATTGAGATTTCTCTCGTTTTTAAGTATATTCTGGGCATACTTTTGGAGTTATTCATAACAAAATAAAGTGATCAATGGACAACTCAGAAGGGCATTGCAAAATTATAGATAAAATCAGCTGATTTGGGGGAGGGGGAATAGAAAGGGGGCAGTCAACAAACATTTTTCATGTCAAATATTTGGGGCTATGCTTTTTCAATTTTCTTCACAATTTTTCACAATTCCTACTATTGCAAAGAGCCACATTTATACAATCCCTACTTAATTGAATAGTCACATTTATATTTTACAAAATTAACTCACCGGTAAAGCTGTTACAAAGTACATGTGTTAACATAAAATAATACATACAGAGGGCTCTCTACTTGTACAGGATGGTTGTAGGCAAAACTTATCATAGCATTGTTGCACAGGCACACTGAGCAGAGAGATTGCCCTTTAACAAGCTTGTAGACAGTTTTGCAAGCGCTCATGAATTCAAAGTGCTTTTCAAATTTAAGGCCTCAGTTGCCAACCTGGAACACAGCTGACATGGACAATGTTTCCAGTTGTGCTACTGTGGTCACTTTAAATTCACACTCTAGT